ATGAACACTCAGCTGAGGAGGAAGAGCTGCTTCCAAGCTCACTCATGTGGTTGGCGGACTTCATTCCTTGCTATGGCAGGGCTGAGGGCCTCGTCTTCATGCTGGCTATGCCCCGAGGCTGCCCTCAGCTCCCAGAGGCTACCTGTGATTGCTTCTAGAGTTCCCCAGCGTGGGATCTCGCTTCTTCAGAGCCAGCAAGGGAGAAAGAGACACCAACGAGACCGGTGCTACCGTCTAATGTAACGTAATCATGTCCACATAATCACATGTGCCCCCTCATCTTTGTCGTACTTCATTGGTTACAAGCACTGGAGGCGGCAGGAATCAGGGGGTCACCCTAAGAGTCTGTCTTCCATAGATGTGCATTGGTATTGAGGTTACTATTTTTTTTAAGAGCCCTTATATTTTACTAGTAGAGCTAAGTACTGAAATATTTGCATTGAAAAAACTTACGACGTCTGAGTGAGATTTGCTTTGGAATAATCCAGGGGGCCGGGGAAATGGGTTGAGATATAAATAACTGGCCATGAGTTGAAAATTGTTGAATCTGGTAGGTTCATGGGAGCTCATTATATGAGTCTCTCTACTTGGGTGTATGCTTGAAATTTTCATAATAAAATTAAAAAGATAGCATGCATATGAGTTATCTGTTGCTGCAAAATTAATTACCTCACAACTTAGTGACTTACTAAAACAACAAACATTTATTTTCTCGGTTCCTGCGTGTCAGGGATCTGACACAGCTTAGCTGGGTGCTTCCGACACAGGGTCTCACAAGGCTGCCGTCCAGGTGTCAGCAGGACTGCGGGCATCTGAGGCCTAATGAGCTGGGGATCTGCTCTCAAGCTCATTCATGTGGCTGTTGGTCAAGTGCCTCGGATCTTTGCTCGTGATGGGCAGCTGGCTTCCCACAGAGCAAGTGATGAGAGAAGGAAAGAGAAAGAGAGATGCACAAAAGTCGACCAGAACAGAAGATAGTCTTTTATAACCTAATCTTAGAAGGGACATGCCATTCCGAATATTCTATTGGTCACACAGACCAACCCTGGTGCGGTGTGGGAAGGGGCGGCACAAGGGTCTGAACAGCAGAAGGCGGGGATCATTGAGAGCATTTTGGAGTCAGGCTACCGTGGTGTGTAAGGCAAAAATTGGGTGTTGTCAAAATTATCCTTGAAAGTCCTTTAAATAACCTATTAAACATAGTGGACAGTTATACCAGTTTTTCTCCAGTGCTGGAATGCATCACTGTTTTCTGGAGTGCTAGATAAAAGTGTGGTCTTGAACTAGGGATCATGGTTGTTCCAAAAGTAAAAGTTTCCTTCCCTTTTTTTTTTCTTTCTAAAATATTTTTTGCTTTCCTTTTTTGTTTCATAAATAAATATATTTTAACACTATAATCACATTTGGCCCTGCCTTGAGCGTATTAAGTTAAATTCAAGTAAATGAAGTGCAGTACGAGGGCATTCTAACGCGTTGTGAAAGTGGAAAGCTGATCATATCTTGATGGCATCTGCCCTTTAGGTCCATTTTGCTGACTCCTTGTTTTAGCTCCACAGTCACCAAGCAGCTTTCTGATTATGAAATGCACCAAACAGAAATGCCCGTGGGGAGAAAATGCTCCGATCTAAACCATTCTGTGGTTACATTTCTCATCTAGAATTAAGAATTGGTATTCTGTCAAGTTCTGCATGATGTAAAGGATTTTCAGGGAAAACTATGGTGGAAAATGGGAGTAGAAGAGAAGTAAGACCTATTAATATTTATTTAATAAAATTCTTATATCAATAATATATTAACTATGATACTGAACTTTTAAGGTACAGGAAAACAAATAATTTTTCCTCATATTAGCTAGAACAGCTATTTGGAGGTATATATATTTGTTTATATGTAAATAGTGTGTATGTGTGTATTGTATATGTGGTTAGAACCACAAATTTATAACAAACAGGCCCATAAATACATATAATTGTTACCCCAAAAAAAGAAGAATTGGTATTCTCCAAAAAAAAAAAAAAAAAAAAGCCCTAGCCAGTTTGGCTCAGTGAATAGAGCATCGGCCCATGGACTGAAGTGTCCCAGGTTTGATTCAGGTCAAGGGCATGTACCTTGGTTGCAGGCCCTGGACAGAGTGCTTGCAGGAGGCAACCAATCGATGTATCTCTCTCAGATCGATATTTCTCTCTCTCTGTCTCTCCCCCTATCTTCCACTCTCTCTAAAAATCAATGGAAAAATGTCCTCAGGTGAGGATTAACAGCAACAACAAAAAACAGTTGGTATTCTGGCTCTACACATCAGTCTTGATGCGCTAGGTTAATGTGAATCTGCATGTAATGTGGTACATTTACATGATAGGCTTTTGAGTCTGCACCCCTGAGTCCCCAGACTGTGATGAATTTACCCAAATCATGACACCCAAGGGGGAGCCATCAGAGTGGTCTAGAAGTCTTCCCAAGGTGTGGCAGCTATATTTACTGCACACAGAGTATATGCATGAGTTCCCCACACTTCTCAGGGCCCTTGCTATCAGAGGGGGGGTTGTAACCAGTTTTGGTCGATAGGCTGTGAGTAGAATTAACACCTATCACTTCTGAGCCAAAACCCAGTGCAGTTTTTTTACACTCTTTCCCGCTGCTGCACAACCATGGAGGCCACATGCCGACCTGCCAGAATGCACATCGGCTTGGGCCCCTGCAGGACCATAACGGACAGAACCCCTCCTGACCTGTGCTCATTAAGCAAATCATATGAGTGCAAATAAAAGTTCGTTGTATTAAGACATTGAGCTATTCCCTACATTAGTGTAACCCACTCTAACTCAGTATACCAAGGGATGCCCACGTGGCTGGGAGTGCATTTTCAATCAACGGTAACATTACACTTGAGTGCTGGGATCCATCTCCAACAGCCTCTCTTCACTTACCCCTATGCCCACTCTTAGTAAGGCTAGAGAGGCAAGAGGCGGGCAGAAGCAGAAGAGGCCAGGAGAAACCTAACAGGACTAGAGATATTAAAGTGCCCCCATCCTGCCCTGCTCATATCAGCACAGGATGCTAATTCTAGAGGCTCTATGCTCCTGCTAACTAACGATGTCATTTCATTTCCTCTTTTTATCTGTTCGGGTGTGCCTGGGCTTTCCCCACTCCCGCCCCAGCTTCCCTGGGGCCACTTCGGGAGCACTACCGCCAAGGTGGCCACCCAGTCAGTCTTCAGCAGGTGGACTGAGTAAACACTAAACATAACAGTTGCCCTGACTGTTCTGACTCAGCTGTCCATTGCTAAATGGAAAAATTTTAAATCACTTATAAAACTAAATATAGGGTTTGAAAATATAGGGTGAAAAATCAACTCAGAGGCTTCAAATAGCAACTTTCATGCAAAAAAAAAAGAGAGAGAGAGAGAGAGAGAGAGAGAGAGAGAGAGAGAGAGTTTAGAGCAGCCGTGGGCAAACTACGGCCCGCAGGCCGGATCCGGCCCGTTTGAAATGAATAAAACTAAAAAAAAAAAAAAAAGACCGTACCCTTTTATGTAATGATGTTTACTTTGAATTTATATTGGTTCACACAAACACTCCATCCATGCTTTTGTTCCGGCCCTCCCATCCAGTTTAAGAACCCATTGTGGCCCTCGAGTCAAAAAGTTTGCCCACCCCTGGTTTAGAGTCATTTCAAGGACTTGTTTCCCAAAAATAGCTAGTAAGAACTTGGCATACAGCCCAGCTGGTGCAGCTCAGTGGTTGAGCATCAGCCTATGAACCAGGAGGTCATGGTTTGATTCCCAGTCAGGACACATGCCCAGATTGTGGGCTTGATCCCCAGTAGGGGATGTGCAGGAGACAGCCAGTCAATGATTCTCATCATTGATGGTCCTATCTCTCTCTCTGTCTCCTTTCCTCTCTGAAATAAATAAAAATGTAATTTAAAAAAAGAACTTGGAGCCCTGACTGGTTTGGCTCAGTGGATAGAGCGTCGGCCTGCGGATTCAAGGGTCCCGGGTTCGATTCCGGTCAAGGGCATGTACCTTGGTTGCGGGCACATCCCCAGTAGGGGGTATGCAGGAGGCAGCTGATCGATGTTTCTCTCTCATCGATGTTTCTAACTCTCTATCTCTCTCCCTTCCTCTCTGTAAAAAATCAATAAAATATATTTTTTTTAAAAAGAACTTGGCATACATTTAAGAGCTAAAATTCAGACCCTTTCAACCATGCATTTATATAAAATTATGCATACAAGTCAGTCCTCGGTTGGGCAGAGCCTCCAGTGATTCTCTCCGTTGATGTCAGAACCAACAGATGAGTTGTGGGGAGCTGTGCAGTGTGCGCTGGGACATTGGTTACTCATTAAGCTAAAGTACTGAAGCTAGTGAATTATTTTCTTCATTGCAAATTAGGGGAAACACAAGATCACTTCTGTAATAAATTCACTCTCACATGCCTTAGCAAAACAATTAAAAATAGAAAGCATGGTGCTCTGACCTGGTGACTCAGTTGGTTGAAGCACCATCTCGTACACCTGGGTCAGGGCATATACCTAGGTTGCTAGTTCAACCCCCAGTTGGAGGACATACATGAGGCAACCGATTGATGTTTCTCTCTCACATCAATATTTTTCTCTTTTTCCTTTCCTCTCTCTCTAAAATTAACAATATATCCTCGGACACTGGCCAGTGTGGCTTATTTGGGTGAGCATCATCCCATGAACCTAGAAGTCGCCAGTTCAGTTCCTGGTCAGGGCCCATGCCCGGGTTGTAGGCTCAATCCCCAGTGGCGGTGAGGGGGACGGGACTGTGCAGGAGGCATCCTATCGATGTTACCCCCTCTCACATTCATGTTTCTCTCTCTCTCTCTCTCTCCCTTCGTCTCTTTAAATTTAAAAAAAAACCCATATTTAAAAAGTGAAAATAAAAATATATCCTATGGTTAGGATTAACAAAAAAGAAAACATGGTAGCATTAAGGTGGGGAAAAAAAAGGACAGAAATTTCTAACTGATCAGCTAGCAGTTTTTGAGACGGCCGAGAACGGCCATCAGTGAGATCATCTTAAAGGAACACTCTTAATGACTTGAAAAAGTCCCCATCCCAAAGTCAGTTATAGGCACTCAGTATTACAGATTTACCTGAATTTAAAGTTACGTTAAAAAACCATTTTGTTAAGGTAAGAGAAGAATCCATTTTAAGTTATCACTCTAAAGCTGTAAGATAAAGATATTACATTACTTTTAGTGTTTAATTTTACTACCACACTAATACATATACATTTTTTAAATTTCTGGGGTTTCTAGTTATTTGCTTTTATGTTCTTATTTTGGGTTATTGAACATGTGTGTTCCAATGAAGGAAATGCTTTTTTATTACACACATTAAAACTATTCCCAATCTTATTCCCCACAGATGAACTGTTTTCACTATCTTCATGACTCATCCTGCCCACATAGATTCATATTCACATTTTATAATCTGTAATTTTCTTTCTTAGTATTATATCATGGAATATTTTTCTGTATTTCCACATAGTTATTGGATCTTTTTAATGGCTGCAAAATATTCTATCACAGTCACCTACATTTAAATGGTTTGATTTTAACCATTTGTTCCTCATTCTGTGATCAGTAGTCACAATCAAAGGTGACAACATTATTCTTCATTATGAGTTACTTATATTTCAGATACACTCACAGGTGGAGCCAAAACGCCATAGTTAATTGGTACACGTTAACTCTCCATTAATATGTCTTCATTTTTCTATTTCTAACATGTGGATTAAGTAGACTACCATGCAGGTTTGCTAAAGGCAGCCCCTATGTTTTTCTTCATGGAAACAGTCATGGGGGAGAGCAGCATCGGCACAGCGCCTCTAGGCTGTCAGCGTGCCCTCTACAACCACCGCAGCACCTCCCCTAATGTCAACCCGGCCATCCGGACGCAGGGATATCTCCAGTTCTCCTCCTCGGCAGGAACACTGAAAGGCTGGACAAAACAAAACAAATCACAAATTAAGATAATTGCCACCCTTTTTAATGAACAGCATATAGTGAGACACCTCTTATTACAAGTTCTAGAATCCTCCTAGGTCAGCTTAAAGATAAATGCTTTAAAGATAAAATTCTTTAAAGATAAAATCTGGCCATGGTACTGCCCAGCCCAACCGGTTCTCCTAAGGAGTGAGGGGCCAAAATGCACTTTCATCCATAAAACACACAGCTCCAGGTCTCCCCTTCCTGAGCTACTTCCTCTATCACCTCCTGTAATGCCCAGACTCACCCCACCCACAGCCTCCTCCCTGGCTCTGTCTAGGAGTAAGCAAGGACATGTGAAAAGATAGATGCAGGAACTAGATGTCTAGGAAGATAAAGAGGGGTGTTCTTGGCCCTCCTGAGAAGGCCCCGTCTTTCCAGGCCTGAATAAGACAAAGGGAGCTCATTCATTCATTGTAGTTACCAAGCAACCACACTGTCAGGCAGACAAGAGGCACGTCTCAGTCTTCCTGGAGCTCAGTGCTTAGGGGAGTAACTAGTCTCACCTAAGAGGAGCCACCTGCTCTCCCCAAATCAGGCTCACAGAGGCCTAACCCTCCCACTAAGCAAGACCTCTAGGGTTGGACTCCTAATTTGATTATGAGGGCTACGTAGCCTCCATTGTCCGAGGTCTATGTTCTCTGCCCCTGAGAAAATATATATTAATCACCAGGGGACTTGGTTCAAAAACAATTTGTATGAGTCAATCCTGTGGCTAGTAATAGCAGTAAGGAGCCTTACTGATTATCCAATCTCCACCTTTCACATCATAGATAACTTCTCTGGGCCAAAGTTACACAGCTAGTTAATTTTCTTCAACAAACATTTATTGGGCACTCACTGCTAGAAGTGTGTCTGTGTTGGGAGAGACGGGTGGGAGATGTTTGGGGTAGAGGATATTTAGAGTAGAGGGGTCAGGGTGAAGGAATTTAAAAACCTTTCATTTTCACGTGGGTGACACAAAACATATCTTCACGTGCATAGTACGTTTGAGAAGGAATCCTAGTTTAAGATCAGGCTTTCTTTTTTTAATTGAAAAAGAGCTGTCTTACCACGCATATCTTTCTTCCCCAGTTCTTGGGACCAGTAGCTGCTGAGAACAGTATGTGCAGACCCTTAAAAGAAATGAGAAGTTATGATACCGCACAAGGGAAACAGGGGCGACTTTGTGGTAAATGTATAAGCAATTGCAATCAACTAGTTAGTCGTTGTGTCGGCGTGGCCACAGCAGAGTGTGGGATTACGAATGGAGATAGAAAGGAAGGCACAGAATGTGTGGATAAGCGCCTCCAAATGATGCATTCGCAGTGCTGCACACTTTCTGAAGGCTGAATTAAACTGCGGGTTTTCATTCTTGTCCTGTCCACACGTTACTGTCAGCCCGTGGTAGGAAAATCAAGTCCTTCACTTAAATCTACATCCTTCAAGAGAGACCATCTGCTTGCTCCCAGGATGCACAGGCAAGGAAAGGTGGGAACTCTGACAAAATGCAAAATTTCCATCAAGCACACATTCCCGGATTTTGGTGGCAAAAGAACTGTCTTTCGGTGAGGTGTTTTTTTTTAGATGATTGTGCCCAAGGTTTAGATCAGAGAATGGGTAGTAAAATGAAGGAACAACTGTCAGAAAAGTCTGTGGGGCAGAAAAGGCTGGGGTGGGAAGGCCCCTCCTTCAGGAAAACTTACTAAATGTTATGGGAGGTCCACATGGTGTGACCAACCATCCCAGTTTGCCTGAGACCATCCTGGTTTTAGCACCGAAGGCCCTGTATGCTGAAAAATCTCTCAGTTTTAAGCAAACTGAGATGGTTGGTCATCACTGTCCAAAGACCTTTCCACTGTAGAAAAGCATTGTTTTAGGGGAAAAACTTGCCCTCTGTGCCAATTAAAATCTTTGTAAAGCAGCTGTGCATGTGTAAATCCACTCAGAACTTCTATTCCATGGGGAAAGGCTTGAGTTGGACTGTTTGGATGTCATTTGGGCATTTTCCTGACATCCAAAAAGTGCTTGCTTACTGAGCTTTGAATTTCACTTGTTTTGTTCCTCAGAGAGTAACTCAGTCATCCCAGCGCCTGCCATCTGACCAAAACAGTCTGCCCAGCCTCCTTCTGCCCTGGCCACCATCCCATGTGCCAGCCTCCTCATGGCCCCCTTTTGCTGCTCAGCCCACTCTTCGCACTGTGCTAAGTACTTAACTGGCCTTGGATTTGCATAACTCTATGGGATATTATCTGTATTTTATAGAGGAGGGAATGGAAACGTTTAAAAGTGAAGCCCTGGCAGGTGTGGCTCGGTTGGTTGGGCATCGTCTCAAATAGTGCACCTATGGATGAGGACAGTGGGTGGGGAGTGAGGGTGGAGGGTGGGGCGGGAACTGGGAGGAGGGGAGTTATGGGGGGAGCTGATCAATGTTTCACTGTCACATTGATGTTTCTCTCTCTCTCTTTCCCTCTCCCTTCCACCCTCTCTAAAAGTCAATCAAAAATCTTTTTGAAAAAATAAGTTAAGCCATTTGCCCAAGGTCAACAGCTAGAAAGCTAGGATGCAAACCAAGGCTGTCTGACACTAAGGTTTAACCCTGCTATACTACTTCTTTTTTTTTGGGGGGGGGGGGGGTAAGGATATTTTTCCCATTGATTTTTAGAGAGTGGAAAAGAGGGAGGGGGAGGGGGGAACATCAATATGAGAGAGACACATCAATTGGTTGCCTCCTGCACCTTCCCCAACCACAGCCAGGGATCAAACCTGCAACCCAGGCATGTGCCCTTGACTGGGAATGAAACCCGAGACCGTTAGGTGCGCAGGCTGACACTCTAACCATTGAGCACACTGGCCAGGGCTGTACTGCTTCCTTAATTCTGTGTTTTTACGTGAAGGGATGGGGGAAGGGAGATAGGAAAACAAAGGCAGCTCAAAACGCAAACAATCTGAAAGGTCACATAAAGGACGCTTAAACAGCTATTTCTTATCCACCCCCTCCATTGTTTAACCCCCCCAGTACCTGTTACCGGGTCTTCTGCGATGCCAACCCAGGGTGCGAAATATCTGGAGTAAAAGTCGAATGCGTGGGTCTGCCCACCGGGCTTTCCTTTAAGAGTGAGAATGAGTCCTCTCACCTTCCCTGTGTTCTCTACTTGCAGCAGATCCTGTGTGTTCACTTTCAGGTTCTCCAGAAATGACCTTGTTCATAAATGGGATGGATTAGGACAAACCCCATTCCACAGACACCCCACCACCACCACCACTACATGGACTCCATAAAGCAGGCCAGGGTGTGGCTGACCCACACGCATCAGCAGGGGCAGGAGGAGGAGCAAGTGGAATACCTTCCTATCTGAGAACAAAGCTCTCTGGCTGCAGAAATCATGGTTTGACTGGACAGAGCACAGCCAGACCCAGCCAGGGCTATAAATGGGGGTGCTTGGCTCTCTCCAAAGTGCTGACGAAGCCAAAAATCTCGTTCACCTGTCGTAAGTGTCACTGAGCCGGACAAGGAGCTTCCGGGTGTCTGGGGAGTAGCGGATGTCCTGGACCAGTGTGTCACCTATGGCAGTCTGTGAAGACAGACCAAAGACTTCTCAGGCATGTGCCCTGGGTCCAGTCCTTGATCCCGTGTGGGAAACGACCTTTCCTGAACATCTGCAGAGTGCCAGGCACACCCCTGGTCTCCAGTCCCCAAGTTTTAGGTAGGTTTCTGGGCTGAAGGTGTTGCCCAAGGAAAAGGTCAGTTTCCTGGTGATTAAAGAGGCCTTTAAAGGAATTGAGCTTATCTTTTTTGAGCCAAAGATAGACATTATTCACAAGTGTTAATATGTGCCTGAACACACAACTCCTTCAAATGGGTATTTTCCCCACAGATCAGAAGACTTAGAGAGGCCCAGGGTCACACACACATACTCTTGTTCATTTCCAACTAGAGGCCCAATGCATGAAATTCATGCAAGAGTAGGCCTTCCTTCCCCTGGCTGCTGGCACTGGCTTCCCTCTAGCACCCAGCACCCCGGCTTCCCTCGAAGCCTGGCTTTCGTCCAGAAGGTCGTCCAGAAGGACGTTTGATCTAATTAGCATATTATACTTTTAATATATATATATATATATATATATATATATATATATATATATCCCTAAAATGCAAATAGACAGAATGGTGGAACAACAGAACAATCGGTCACTATGACGTGCACTGACCACCAGGGGGTGCGTGTGGAACATGGCAGGCATCGACTGCAGTGAGATGGTGGAGCAGGTGAGTGGGGGCACCAGACCAAGGCTGGGTGCCGGTCGCTGTCATCGGAGTGAGCCTCTGGAGGTTACTGAAAATTCTTTGCTCCTGTGCACTGCAGCCCCACCGGGCGTTCGCACCTGCTGCCAGCGCCGGGCCTGCTCACATCCGCTGCCAGCACTGGAGCCACTGCTTGCACCTGCCACCAGCGCCCAGCGTCAGCCCCAATCACTCGGCGCCATCAGCGGGTGCAAGTAGCGGCTGGCAGCCCCGATCACCCCTGAGGGCTTCTCCATCTCCCCCTGCTCCTGAGGGGCGATTGAGGCAGCAGCCGCTGCTCACACCCACTGACAGTGCCGCCCCGCTCGCACCCGCTGCTGGCGCTGGCCCCAGTCACTCCGTGCAGTCAGCGGATGTGATTGGGGCTGGCGCCATCAGCGCGTGGGAGTGGCTGCAGCGGGAGTGGAGCTGCTGGCAGACAGGGGACTGGGGGCTACGGCGGGAGGGGCCGAGACCCACCCCTGTGCCCACCGCAGCCATGTGGCCCACAATTCCTTTCAAGGTGCATGAATTCGTGCACTGGGCCCCTAGTTACAGATAACATTGTTTTGCTTGTTTGTTGGCTTGGGGTGCTGAGGGAATAGATGAGGGGACAAAAGCCCCTTTAAGCACTACCAGTGGCTGTGGGCAGAGTAGGTGACAATGGCGATGACAGAGTAGTTGTCTGGCAGTCATTCGGTGGCTTCAGGTTTTCTAACTCTCTTTAGGGACTGAGCTGCTCCAGGTCCCAAGGCCAAGCCTCTCTCCTCCTGGAGTGATGCCTGGGATGTCTGCCTCTGTGACCACAGCTAACCAATGTCCCTCTCTCTAGAAACAAATCCCAGCAGCCAAATCCCACCTGCTCTCCGGGACCTTCCAGTCTCTCTGAAGGGTCACCCAGCCCTTCTCTGCATGGGTTCTATGTGATCTGAAAGTTTAATTCTCAGCTGGGAATCTTATTGCCAGTTTCTAGGAACACAAAAGGACAACCCGTGATAAGATGAATAACCCTTTGTCATTCCCATTTTTCAAACGCTGACCCTGAGGCTTAGAGAGGTCAGGTTAAGTTCTTTCTACCATGAACAAGGTAGAAAGAACTCTGAATATTTCCCATTTTCCTGCCCTGGTGCTTTAAGTAGCTCTCCCCACCCTACCATGGAGGCTAATGCTGACAATGAAGAGTCAGGGGAAACTGGTCCATCTTCTCACCAAATAGATTCAGTATTACAGTTCAGACCTCAAACGCACTGTTCTGTTCATCCAAGCTTAGATCGGAACGCTGTTACCAGTAGCAGGCCTGTCTTTGGGGATCAAATGGTACCGAATGTTTGTGTTCAAATACTAACAAGTGTTCAAATAACATGAGCTCAGGCTTGATTCTTGTCACTAACCTTTATCAAGTCCTTTACTTCATGGAGGTCCTAGATGGGGAAAAGACAAAACCGTTATAAAACAGGCACTCTGCCAGTTGTACACAGTTTATCAATTAGAAAGAGCTGACCTGGGGGTGGGCTGGGTACAGAGGCAGGTCCAGGATGATACCATCCTCCGCTTTTCTGGCCTTTAGTTCCCCACTCAGCGTGACAAAGGTTAGAGTGCTATTCACATTTTCTGGCAAAAAAAAAAAGAGTCTTATTTTGTCGATCATAAAACTGTTAGAAAAGGAATCATGAAATGGGAAAATAAACTTTGTTATATGCTTATAAGTCTGTTTCAGACACCGTTGTGTTGTCTCAGGTTCTCTAGCAGTGCTGCCCGCGTTTGGTTTGCTGGGGTCCACAGTGGGGTCCCTCACTGGATTCTAATTTGAGAACCAGGAACATGATTGATTAGACTTGGCATCAGGCTGCAAGGCTTCAAATCCCAGCTCCTTACTGCTTCCTAGCTATACCCTTGAGCAAATTATTTAACCTGCTTAAACCTCAATTTCCACATCAACAAAGTGAGGTAATAATTCAATCTATATCAATTTTATTTTACCAATAAAATAGGGCAATAATTAAGCCTGCCTCATAGAAATGTTATGTTTTCTATTAACCTACAATTAGCATGGAATTATAAGCTCTACTAGTCAGTTTATAGATGACAAATAGAACATACAAGTTACGAACAACAATCTGATATGAACAAATTAAGTTTATTTTAAATAAACAAAGCTAGACATAAAATTTTGATTTAAAGATTAGACTATAAATGCTGATATGATAGCCCTCCCTCTGTGTTTCTGATACAACTTGAGCCACTTATCTGACTTCAATGTGTATAACATTTTTGGTGAAAACAGAGATTTGGGACATAATTGTTTTTCACGCCCTAATATTTCTGTAAAACCATTTTGCAGTCCAACTTCTCCCTCTATTTAATCCTTTCTTTACTCCCCTGTCAATATTGACCCCAAGAATATTGCCTGCAGTTCCTCCGGCATGCAAACGTGTCCCCAAATCTGCACTGCACCCTGGTGGAACCTGCCCTGCAACCCCTTCCCTTACTATCCCCATCTACAGCAGTTCTCCAAAGAACCTCCTTTTCTAACTCCCCACTTCCTACAGTTACCCTGTCATATCATCCTGTTTACTTCTGTGTGTTGTCTAAACGCGTTCATAGCTGCCTCCTGCTGCGATTTAAGGCATCTCCAAGCATCTCTCTTCTGCCCCGTTCCCACAAAGCCCTCATCTTTACCTGCTGTATATGCAGCTTAGATGGAAAGTGGTAGGATGAAGGACTAGGTGCTGTACCCTATCCTCACAAGTGGTAGTTGTAGTGTAAGTAGTTGGGCGCATAACTCTTTAAAATTCAGAGTAGCCCTAGCCAGATTGGCTCAGTGGATAGAGTGTTGGCCTGTGGACTGAGGAGTCACTAGTTCAATTCCAGTCTAGGGCACATGCCCAGGTTGTAGGCTCGATTCCCAGAAGGGGGTGTGCAGGAAGCAGCCAATCAATGATTCTCTCTCATCATTGATGTTTCTATCTCTCTCCTCTCCCTTCCTCTCTGAAATCAATAAAAATATTTTATAAATTAATTAATTTAATTAAAATTCAGAGTAAAGAAGCTCTTGTTTCAGTGTGGGGGGCACATATCGAGGGCAAAGTGTGCCTTTTGGGTCCCCAATATCATGTGTGTCACCTGTTCTTCCTGTAAACTCCCCTCCACAGACACCGAAGACTCCAGATTTACAATAAATGGCATTCCAGGGAACAACGCTGTGGCTTTCCAATATGCCTGGCACATACTCAGGCCAAGGTTATTGAAGGTTGATGTTTTTTATTCTGGATAATGTTTTACATGAAATAAACTCTGCAATGTCCCATTCCAGTGTTCATCGCCAAGAGCATGAGAATTTTTTTTTAAATTGCTATTTGCTAAGTGATAGGTTCATTTTTTAAAATCACATTACTTATTTTGTGAAACAGCACGGCTGCAGAAGCCAGGGTAGCGTGACCACAGAGAGGAACCTCACTCGCCGGTGTGAACCACCTTAGTCCAAAGCAGGAACCTTCAGGGGAGATAAGCCAAAGAGAGACGAGATCATTCCCGTGCAAGTGAGTCGCAGACTTTTTGTTTTCTCATTCTTTTCTGAATTTTTCACCAGCGTGATTTAATTGCTGAAACATGTTGTGAAAGGAGTGAACTCTAAGCATACATCCTAGGGTTCCTTGGTGCTAGGTCCGGGGCTAAAACATTCAAATCAACCAACCCCACAACCCCAGATTAACTGAGAACCAAATCAGAATCTCACTCTCCTATCTGCATGCAAATAGCAAATGGGCGTTTCCCTTAAATATCACCCTCCCACTGGAAAAGCAGCTTCTCCTAAAAACCATAAAGAATGGTTTTTTAGAATGCTTATTTAAGGCGACAGGAGAAGATTTGACTTTGGGTGGTGGGCACATGGTGCAATATACAGATCTGTAACATAGAAACCCACACCTCAAGCCTATATGTTCATGTTCACCAATGTCACCCCAATCAAATTAATAAATAAATATTTAAGAAAATAAAGAAAAGCCAGAAAGCGTACTTACTTTGTGAGAAGCTGTCACTTGGGTTCAGTTTTCGGATAAAGGCGGTTTCTGAGAGGTTCATTTCCCTTGCAATTTTTTGATGCATGTCTTCATCCAATTTCTAAATTAGAAACAAAAGGTTATTGAGACTCTAGAAACACAAATCAGACTTCCTTGGACAGCGACTGCCATTCGTTGATAACACAGTTTATTAATGTGAAAACTCACATGCTTAACAGGAAATAATTGCCAAGGAAGCCAGGCACTTTGATAAAAATTGGCACCTTATGAAGAAGGGCTGTAGGTGTGTGCGAAGCTGGAACAGACTCTGAAAAACCTACGGGCCTGGCCTATCCTTTGTGAGATTATGACAGTCTATCTGAGAGCGTGTGCTCTCTTCTAACAACACTCTCCACAGATGGGGACTTCGCAGTCTCCCTTTCTTGTTGGATAAAGATGTTTGGCGCACACATTAGACAGGCGGGCCCCCCTGCCCCCGTTTATGCACGGTTCACTCCCTCTCGTGGGCCAGGCTTCAGGCCGAGGTCACTTCCTGCAGGAAGCCTTCCAGACTGCTCTGTCCAAAAGCACGGTCTCCTCCCAGTGCTTGGCCACCTGAAACTCCCTCGTGTGTCCTTTACTGTCGGTCCCCCCACCTCTGACTCGGAGCTCTGAGAGGGCACGGACGGGATGGTGCTAGTTTGCTTAGTCCTGGCTTAGAACCGTGCTTTGTATTCATCCCAGGATGGGAGGGGCTCAATAAACATTTGCTGAAAGGATAATTACATTATTCACTTAATCTTCATTTTTAAAACCCTCAATATAGATATCTTACCCACTTACGGATTAAGAAATTAAACACAGGGGTTGTATAATATCCTAAGATCATGATATGCCTAATAAATGGTAGAATGATTAAGAATGTGGGCTGCCAAAACCGGTTTGGCTCAGTGGATGGAGCGTCGGCCTGTGGACTGAAGGGTCCCGGGTTCGGTTCCGGTCAAGGGCATGTACCTGGGTTGCGGGCACATCCCCAGTAGGAGATGTGCAGGAGGCAGCTGATCGATGTTTCTCTCTCATCGATGTTTCTGACTCTCTATCTCTCTCCCTTCCTCTCTCTGTAAAAAATCAATAAAATATATTTTTAAAAAAAAAGAATGTGGGCTTTGCAAATGGTAACAACCAGTGAATCTAGAGGAAAGGTATTATATGATTGTTCATTGTACCATTCTTGAAACTTTTTTGTAGGTTTTTAATTTTTCAAAATAAAATGTTAAAAAAAAAATTGCCCTAGCCAGTTCGGCTCAGTGGATAGAGCGTTGGCCTGTGGACTGAAGGGTCCTGGGTTCAGTTCCGGTCAATGGCATGTGCCTCATTTGCTGACTCCTCCCCAGGTCAGGGCATGTGCAGGAGGCAACCAATTGATGTGTTTCTCTCACATCAACATTTCTCTGTCTTTTCCTCTCTCTTTCCCTCTCTCTAAAAAGCAATGGAAAAATATCCCTGGGTGAAGATTAAAAGAATAAATAAAATAAAATAATATATAAATAATGTGGGCTTTGGAAACAGACAGAATTGGATTTATATCTGGATCAGCCTCATAGAAGTGCAAAAGTGAGCAAGTCATTTGCTCTCATGGGGCCTCAGTTTTCTCACCTTTAAAATGGGAGTAATAGTACTTTAATGAAGACACATGCATACACATATGTATTTGCAAACACACACATTCCTCTTAAGAAAAAATGGGTCAGAAGTATGAGTTTTCCTTTTGAGAATAAAAATAAATTTTTAATCAACATAATGCTTACTAGCTATAGTTTGTATTCCAAAGACAAATGAATTTTTGCTTTGACCAAACCCAGAAATAAGAATTATTACTTTATACTAATAAGTTCATAATTCATTTATCTGAGTTATGCAAGTTAAGCACACTTTGTTTTTTAGTTATTTCAAATTCTTTTGAAACACTTTCCATACACTTGTATAAGGCATAAAACAGTAGTTATTGTGAAAAATCAGAAATGGTTTTTAAACTATCAGCTGATATAAAAATCCTAGCAAGAGGTTTACTTAAAGGAGCACTATATTCAAAAATCTATAGAAGCTCTGTAGTCCTATAGAAAGAAACAGACAGAATTTGACTTAAGAAATTGATAACTGCCCTAGCTGGTTTGGCTCAGTGGATAGAGCATCGACCTGTGGACTAAAGAGTCCCAGGTTCAATTCCGGTCAAGGGCACATGCCCAGGTTGCGGGCTCGATCCCCAGTGTGGGGTATGCAGGAGGCAGCCAATCAATGATTCTCTCTCATCATTGATGCTTCTATCTCTCTCTCTCCTCTCCCTTCCTCTCTGAAATCAATTTTAAAAAATTGATAACTTATTTTTTGAAAACCCAAACATAATAAATTGATTTTATTTTTACTTAACTTTTTTTTCCAAAAGATTAAATCCAGTAATGCATATAAAGTGCTCATCACAGTGCTCAACACGTAGTAAGTACTTGATAAATGCTGGCTTTTTACTTTGAGTGGCTCAAAGCCCGAGCTTTAACCTGCCACACTACACTGCCTCCCCATAACAAAGACACATTATTATTACCCTTTACCACATTGCAGACAGGAAAACCAAGGTCTACCAGATCAAATGGACTCCTGCAACGTTTCTGAGGGACAGTAGCAATCAATTGCTGAGTATTGTGCTGGGCCAGCAGCAGCAGCACCACTACCGAGGGAAGGTGTTAGAAATGCCGTCTCAGACCCCATCACAGGCCTTCTGAGTCACAATCTCCATTTTAACCAGATCCCCACATGATCTGTGTGCACATTAAAATTTGAGAAGTCCTGGTGTATAAGATATGGCCTTGTGTTCATTTTTTTCAATATATTTTTATTGATTTCAGAGAGGGAGAGAGAGACAGAAACATCAATGATGAGAGAGAATCATTGATTCGCTGTCTCCTGCATGCCCACACTGGGGATCAAGCCCACAACCTGGGCATGTGCCCTGAATGGAAATTCAACCATGACCTCCTGGTTCATAGGTTGACACTCAACCACCTGAGCCACACCGGCCGGGCTGGCCCTGTGTTCTTGTAGGGACTCTAGGCAGATACAGAAAGCAACAGTGAGCAACACCAGAGAGTACATATGTATTTGAGATACATAGAGTATGCACAGTGTGTAATTGAGATACATAGATTTTGACAATAAACATGCTAGGCCTTTAAAGATGAGGCCTTCAAGTGGATTCAGAAAAGGGGCACTTTTTGGTGAGTTGGGCAGGAAAATGTGGGCAAAGAGCTTTGTATTGGGGATGCTTCTTGGGCAAGTTACTTGATCTTATGTCTGTTCTCTTGTTAAATCTTTGACACGCTAGGATTCCGTGAGCTGGGGTGAAGGGAATTAGGATGTCACACCTGTGGGCCTGGGGAGTGAGAAGTCCCACCTGAGTAGAAGAAGCAGGGTGGTTGTTGGGGCATCCCAGCCAACAAGGCAATACTGCTAAGAACTGAACTCAGGTGTGCTCTCCCTCAGGAGCACACCCGCACCTTCCCTTCCCCCGCTTCTTCCCCCAAGCGCTTTACCTTTCCTTTCTCTCTCCTGAGCTCTAAGGGCCCTTCTTTTGCTTCTGTCACTTTTCCCTGAGCCTATGCAGCTGAGCTGGCTAACTTCTACTAGCTCTGTAATTTTCTAAATAAACTTTCTCTTATAATTTGGGGGGAAAAAAGAATTGAATCAAGCACTTGCCATGGCTTATAGAATGTTGTCTGCGGAAACTGGCTAACATGCCTGTGCATACAACACCTGAGAGAAACTGGAAGCCATTTAATTCCCTAGTGCAGAACCTGCAATCACAGGGCTCAACAGTGAATGACAGGGTGACAGAGGAAAGCCGGTGCTGGTCTTCCTGTGGTGCCTGCCAGTCCTTCCTCTCTCTGATCTGGTCAAACTCTCCCTATCCTTATCCTTCCTTTCTTTATCTATTGCTTCCCTCGACAAGACCCTCTGAGAGCATTAAAGCATCCCACATTGTAGCCAAGCTCACCATCGTTTGGCAATAAATTTCCTTGCAAATGGGCTGTTTTGCACATCAGCTAGAACACAGGCTTTACTTTAACCCTCTCTACCATATGACACCAAATGCAATTTGAACTTCTGTCACTAATTTCTGTGCCAGGACTCCTGTTATTTGCCTGAGGGACAGAAATAATGTAGAAAATTTGGTAATAGCAGCCCTCAATATGCACCATATGCAGCTGAATTTCTACAGTGGAACCAAAGGTCAAGATGATGGTGCATCATGAGAAGGCTCATATTGGTTCAACTTTGAGAACTTTAGAAATAAAAGAAAGAGGCTACACACTCATTTAAAATGCTGAGTTTTTGTTCAAATAATTTTTCCATTTTACACTACAAGCTTATTTTCAAATGCAGCACATAATAATTACAAACCAACAACTTTTAATTCTCTTGCTTTAATATCCATTTCCCTTTGGTAATGTCACATGAGACAAATTTCCAACAGCAAAACAACCATGATTTTTTTATTTTATTTATTTTTTGAGTTCCAGTGTACTGCACTGGGACACTGAGGTTCCATCACCATTAGGCCCCCCAAAAAATTAATAATCAGAAAATGAGTAAAGTTTTAAAATACCCCCATCTTGTGGCAGTTCAGAAATATGACAGCCTACATATAACTTCTCTCAGTCTTTGTCCCTCTGCTGCAGATGGATTCCAGCAAAGGAAAAACAGCTGGATGTCGAAAGTTCTAAATCACCCAGGAAGAAATGGGAGATTCTTTCTGAGGCACTGGGACTTCTTATTGTGAAGTTATGTCCACACAAGGCAGTACTCAAGCTGTAGGCCATCTTAGTGGTTCCACAGATGCCTCGTCTCTCCAGCTCCAAATTGAGCCCAAAGTTCATTCTCACTTCCCATACCCCCTATCCTGCCCCACCAAGGAGAACATAAGACCAATGATGGTTGGTTAACCAGAACTCTTCAGAGATTTTGCCATAATTTAATTGATCATATTTTTACTTTCACTCAACAGAGTGCCTCCCGTGTGCTAGGCCGGGTGTGCTGAAACAAGTCAGAATGGATCTAAGATCGTATAGA